AGAGAGAGAGAGAGAGAGAGAGAGAGATACAGAGAGACAGACAGACAGGCAGACAGACAGACAGACAGACAGACAGACAGAGGTATAGACAGACAAGCGAGACAACTAAGCATAAAAGAACCTGATCTCCTGACCCAGGAGGCAGCCAGCAGACGGGGCCCAGCCAACTGTTGAGACAGCAGCAGATCAGCAGACTCGTCTCCAGGACTTCCGGGGTCAACTCTGGCGGGGGTCAAGGGGCAAATAACCGCAGAAGTCAGCCACAGTTGTCCCGGGTAGCCTCACAGCCCAGGATCATACGGTAACTTCTTGTTGTTGTTCTTGTTGCTGCTGTTGCTGGTGGTGGTGTTGTTATTGTTGATGGTGGTTGTGGCGTTGTGTTGTTGTTGTTTTTGTTGTAGTTGTTGTGTGTGTGGTAGCCTATCTGTTGAAATGTTGGGAGCCCCGAAGAGCGTGCTCTTCGCCAGGGCCACCTCCTCTCTTGGGTAGCGGGTAAGAAAGTCGAACCTCCCTGAATCCTCCCCAAAGAGATGCCACTGCCGGACCTCCGTGGCGGGGCATCTCTGCAGCAAGTGCTCCAAATCTTGGGGCTCCTCGCTGCACAATGGACAGGTTGTTTGCGATGTTTTGTCTATTCTATATTTGTAGGCCCGCAGCCCAGAGAAGTGACCGGTCCTGATTTTTGCCAGCAGTGACCCAGGTCACTACGGGACTTGATTTGAGCTCTCGTTTTAAGGGAAATGCCCTGTATATTTCCTTCGTGTGAGATATCGGAGGGTCTTTGTGATGAGTTTTATCTGCGCGCACTCACTTTCGTGTAATTTGGTGGCCTGGACTATAACTACGAGTGAGTGAGTGGTGACCGTGCCAACCGGTAGCCTCCTGTGCAACTCTTAATTTGTGGTGTTCCTGACTGTTTTAATTCCTGGATATTCTTTAGAAGTTAAATTTAATCATCATGTGCGTTGAGCTTCTGTGATTATTGTGCTGCTGTTGGTAGTCGTGGTGGTGGTTGTGGCGGTGGTGGTGTTGTTTTGTTGTTGTTGTTGTTGTTATTGTTGGTGGTGGTGTTGGTGGTTTTGTTTTTGTTGTTGGTGGTGGTTTTGATGCATCTTTTGCATCTCTTGTAGCTGTCTCTTTCTATCTTTTTTCTTTTTTGCTCCCCCCCTCTCTTTCTCTCTCTCTCTCTCTCTCTCTC